ACATGTGTGTGTGTGTTTGTGTGAGTGTGTGTGTGTGAGGAGAGGATATTTTAGTTTTAGTAAGAGTTTTACGGCACTTGCAACACATTAGGTCATATAAGTGCAGAAGATTAGAGGTGTTATAAGAAAATAACAAAAACAAAAAAAAGAGGAGAGATAAAAGCAACAGATGTATAATAGGAAAGAAGGAGCAAACCACACCAGAGCACCCACCAACCACCCACGAGGATATTTGAAAATACAGTTCATGAGGCAACAGACAGAAACAGGTCAGATTTAATTTTTTTTTCGACTCTCAAAGATCTCCATTAACCAAATTTTGATCATGTCAGAATTGTCACTGTCACCCGCTTTGGATCCATATATGCCCTTCTACTTAATAATTTTCCGATAGTCACAACTATAATGGGAGAAATATAAATCACTTGCCTACACTGTACCACAACAAAACTGGCTCGTTGGAAGCAGTAATCGTTTCCAGATAGAGTTGCAGTTTTCACCTTATCATTTTGTAAAGAAAGTTTCTTTTAAACGGATTTTTGAAAAATATATAAATGTACGATATTTTAGATTATCTCCCTTATCCAGGATTTTGGAACTTACATTAAGACAAAGTCTCCACAAGCTGAATGGTGAAAAACCTGTCATTTCTTCTGTCCTTTGCTACCAGCATAGTGCTGTCCTCCTAAATCTGCCCACCCATTGATGCCTAAAAATAAAACGATTTTTCAAACTCTCCCGGACAGCAGTGGAGCTGGAGAAAAATTAAATATTAGTCATCAAGATTTTGTCTGTACATGCGCGCTCCCTTCCTCTCAAACACACACAAACAAACACAACATACAAACACAGTTGCAAGCACTTACCTGGTTTTTAGTTTTATTTTTAGTAAGAGTTTTACGGCACTTGCTGGTTACTCCCCACAATGTAGCCAGCTAAACCACCCATGGTTAGTTGCAAGCACTTACCTGGTTTTTAGTTTTATTTTTAGTAAGAGTTTTACGGCACTTGCAACACAATAAGGTCATTTAATATAAATGCCGAAGAATAGAGGTGTTACAAGAGAGTAACATACACAAAAAAGAAGGAGGGGAGATAAGGACGATAGATGTTTGATAGGAAAGAAGGAGTAAACCACACCAGAGCACCCGCCAACCACCCATCTTCCTCTCAAACACACAAACAAACACAACACACAGATAAACACAACACACTGACCTGGTTTGTAGACCACTCTCTTCAAAGAGCCTTCCTGCCACTGGTAAAACGTGCCGGTGAGCACAGTGTCCGTAATGTTGGCCCAGTAGCGACCTGATGCAAGAAAGAAACTTTTTATCATTATTTGTCTTAGTAGAGTTTTAACAGCGCTCGCAACTACATAAGTTCATATGAGCACCAAGGGGTGGATGTCAACAGAGAAGTCCTTACAGGGTATCAGACTAAATCTGCTCACCTTTCTAGCTTCAACAGCACAAAGTCTGTTTCGACTATCAAGGCATCCTGGAAATAGCAGTTCACAAGAGTGTGACAAACATACAAAAGAAGTAGAGGAAAAATGACGATCATAAGGATTAGGATAGAAAAAGCAGCAGTTCCCTGTTGCAGTTCAGGCACAGTTTTGAGCATGACATTGATGAATCAGCTCATTTACAATTCTACTGTGCATAAAGAACAGGTTAATGTCCCCCCTTTGGGAATAGCCTAAAGGCACTTGAAATTTTTTATGCTTCAGTGGACTCCAGCATTAAGTCTCATAAAAGCAACAACAGACAGACTTAATTTTAGTTTTAGTGTAAGAGTTTTACAGCACTTGCAACACAATAAGGTCATATAAGTGCCGAAGAATAGGTGTTACAAGAGAGTAACATACACAAAAAAGAAGCAGGAGAGATAAGGACGACAGATGTTTGATAGGAAAAAAGAAGCAAACCACACCAGAGCACCCGCCAACCACCCACACAGACAGACTTTGGCAGTCTCTAAGTATAACAAAAGCAACAACAGACTTTGGCAGCAGAAACAATGCTTACAAAAGAAAATTTTAAAATACAACCCTTATAATATAACCACAGCTCACTAAAAAAACACTCAATTATCAAGTAATATTTTTTGGGAGGAGGAGGAGAAGAAGAAGAAGAAGAGGAAGAGGAAGAAGGAGGAGGAGGAGGAGGAGGAGGAGGAGGAGGAGAACAAGAACAAGAACAAGAACAAGAACAAGAAGATGAACAAGAACAAGAAGAAGAAGAAGCAGGGGGAGAATAAAAAAGGAAAGTGTCACAGACTGACCTGAATGTCCAGTGGTGTCCACAGCGGTGCCAAACAAGAGCACGTACTCGGTGAGGGAGGCGTGGAGCAGACACATGCTGCCCATCCAGCCCCCGGCGTTCACAAACACCCACTGAAGGTCTTCGTCTGGCCACATGGGGGGGGGGGGGGGAAATCAGAGAACATGAACGCTATACAAAATCAACACTCAGAATGAGAGAGAGATAAAGACAGAGAGAGAAAGAGAGAGAGAGAGAGAGAGAGAGAGAGAGACAGAGAGAGACAGAGAGAGAGAGAGACAGAGACAGAGAGACAGAGAGAGAGAGAGAGAGAGGAGGGGGTGGGAAAGGAGAGGGGGAGAAAGAAAAAGAGCAAGTGAAGAGATATATATATATATATACATAAGAGATGGGAAGGAAATAATAAATAGATACAGGAGTAGAAGATAGATTTAAATTTAAAATATCATGTAGGTCAATGAAACGCATCATTTTCTAAAGGTTTATGCATCATCATTTAATTCTTAGTAAAATTCATTTCACCTTTGAAAATTGCGCGCATGAGTCAAAAAAAATATGTCCGCAATGGGCATCTATGGTGTAGCGTTAAGGTGCTTCGCTGTCGCACACAATCACACAGAAGACCAGAGTTCAATTCCAAAGTGAGGAGAATTTTTATTGAGTATCTCGGTCTTTCCACTGAAATGTTGTATTCCTTTCAGCCAGGGTTGGCCCTGACATGTATAGGGTAGGAAGCCCGCCTCCTAAATGATCTAAATTGTGTTAATAGGGGCCTTAGAAAAACCTTGAATAAAAATAGATAAATAAATTAAGATTTAAAAAACCCTGAGCACATACCAGGAAGTATGTGTCCCTTGTACTTCACCCTCAAATCTTCCACAACATGGCCAAAAGCCACCTCTATCGACTTTTTGGAGGCTGTACCTGAAAGAGATAAAACAATTTTTAGAACTCAAACGTTAAACATGATGTCCCAAGCGCAGCGTTAATTTTGTGTGGTTTGAGTTGAGAAAAAAGAGGTACAGTACAGTATGATAGTTTAATGTTGACAGACAAATAACAGAGAGAGATATATTTTAATAATAGAATTTTCATTTTCTGAACGTAAATTGCTCAATGCATGTCATAGTCAAAGAGTCTTTCACATTTTGATACATATATGAGATACATAATCTCTTTAACATTAATAATGGTGTTTTAGATTTCCAAACAAATTTCCATGGTAATATTAGACATCAGTTCATGAGAATCTAAAAGAGACAATAAGAACAAAGTAACTAATTTCACTAGAGCGTGACACAGACGAGCACACTGGCACTGACCCGATTTACCGAGAAGGGAGCTGCGCCAGTAGGGAAAACGTTATAAACAAGGATCACATACAGTCGAACCTGTATAAAACGGCCATCCATTGTCAAGGAGAGAGGAAAGTGGTCGAATAACACAGGTGGCCGTCTTTGGCAGGACTGATCAAAATGAAGAAAACAAACCATTCCCTTCTAAGATCTTAACCAGGGCTGATCTCAGGCTTAGGACTACCGAAAGGCGAATTTAAAAGGGTTTTTGCTTGATTTTGAAAAAAAAAAGAGAGACAGGAGGAGGTCAGAAAGGTCTTTTGTTAGTTTTGTTTTTTGCTTAGCTTTTTTTTTTCAGTTGTTGATTTTGCGAACGAGTAAAATAACCAAATGTAAGACGATGAAGACCAAGTGCCATGGTAAAACAAACAATGGGTCGCCATCGCTTGAAGAACGAGTAACGTTTCTGTCACAAGAACACGTTAATGTCCATTGTTACTTTGTTACAGATAAGATAAACAAGACAGAGACAAGTCACCTCACATACGATTTGTGTATAAGTTGTGGGCCGGGCTTATAGGTTATGACGGATTACACGTTTCCCTCAACAGCAGTTGAAAATTTATTGTCACCTATTGGTCAACTTGGGTAAACATTTCATTGGAGGGACTAGCAATAACAACAGGTGAATGGATTACAACAGCTCGTCCACAGCGTCAGGGGCCAATTAAAATACTAAGACAACACATCGGGTGGTGCGAAACCACACCTGGCCTCCTCAGGCAGGTAAATTTGACTCTGCGTTGATAAAATAAAGTGGCCGTGGTCGCGTTGGACAGGTGACCATTTTACACAAATAATATAGAAAAAACGCAAGGGTGGAAATGGAAGGTGGTCGTTTGTACTGGTGGCAATATTACACTAGTGGATGTCATGGCAGGTTCAACGGTACATGCAACACAATCAATTAATAGATCTGGTCAATTGTATCATCAGGGGAAAAAATGATAAACCAGGATCAAATTTACGCAACATGATCAATTACAGATTTAGCCAACTCAACATGACATGTTTCCTGAGCTTTCTGCGACTTACAGCAGGAAAATGAATACATGCCACGCTGCAGTAAATGCAGCAGGGGGCTAAAGTACCTTGAATCTGGACAATCAGCTAAACAGAACACTGCGGACTATTCCGACACTTGAGCAACAGTAATGCCATAAACATGGACAGGGGGCTCTCGTGGTCTAGAGGTTAAGGTGTTGGCCTCTCATTCAAAGGTCCCGGGTTCGGATCTGGGTTGCCATCCAAACATTTTCTTCTCTAAAATTGTCTCCTTTCGCCTCCTTTCCTGCTCTCTAATAATGTTCCGTCGTCTGCTTTCTTCTCCTCTTTCTTCCCCCACCCCCTCACCCCCTCCTCTGGGCTCCTCACTCTTTCTGCAGCCTTTCTACTGCTACTCCTTGGCTCCTTCTTACTTCTGTCTTTCAGCCACACCCCTGATCTTCTGGTAGGAAAGATCTACACCTAGCCTTCTCGGACAAGGGCAAAAAATCTCGGAGGGCCCGTGTGCAAGTTGCGCAAGTTAAAGATCCCTTGGTGGTCTAAAATCAATAAGATTAGGCTTCGGCCGCCACCCTGGCAAAATTCAAAATTTCCTACCAACTGAAAAAGTTTAATGTGTCCTGCACGCTCATATGACCTTATGCAGTTGCCAGCGCCGTAAAACACTTACCAAAAAAACCCCCCCTAAAAACCCGCCAAAAAACATGGACAGCAACAAAAAATACAGAAACATTGATTATATAATAATATTACATTCTACATCAATTTTCCGATGGAAAGAAAAAAGTTAAAGGAATATTGTTTCCTTTTTTTCTCTATACATCACACCACAGCTGTGGATGGAATACCCATATATGATACGCATTTAGCTATTATTTTCACTTTCTCTGTGATCGATATTATAGCAGTATCATATTTCTATGGCCTCAGGAAAAATAATCCTAAAAATGCCAATTTTGCTAGACAAAAGATTTTGTGGTAGCATCATTGTAGACTTCATTCAAATGACTAACTGTAAATAGACAAATTTTGTTTGCAACATTGTTTAAATTTATAGATGAAAGAGGAGAAAGATATTTTGTGTGCATTACGATTTCACCAGCCTGTACATTTTGAAAGAAAGACCATAAGTGTTTTAAAAGGAGTGTTATCACATCACCTCAGTAAAGCAACCAGGGAGCTCTTTGTTTGCCACTATCACCAGACTTGGGTGGCTACATTTTTACAAAATCACCAATTTTTTATTCTTTGTCTTTGTATAAAAAACTATTAGATGAATATTGAAAACCCCCCTGGGGCAGTGCTACTGACTGGAGTGTCTTTAGGCCATTCTCAAAGGGGCGACATTTCTTGTTCAAGCATAGTAATATTGTAAATGGGCTGACTCATGTTACGCTCATAACTGTGCCTGATCTACAACAGGGAACTGCTGCTTTTTCTTTCCTGATCCTTACTATTGTCATTTTCCTCTACTTCTTTTGTATGTTTGTCACTCTCTTGTGACCTGCTATTTTGGGGTGCCTTGAAAGTCGAAGCAGACCTTTTGCTGTTGAAGCTAGAGAGGTGAGCAGTGTAAGTCTGATTCCCTGTAAAGACTTCTCTGTTAACATCCACCCCTAGGCGCTCATATGACCTTATGCAGTTGTGAGCGCCGTAAAACCCTCTACTATAAATTATTTTTAAAATGAATATTGAAATGCACGTATAAAATTTCTAAAATAAAAAGAATCTCAAAAAGGATTATAAAGTAATAAAGTCTTATCATTCCCAAGCAATTCCTCAAATAATTCAAATGATCAAGTTAAGGAGCAACAAGATAGCGAAACAGAAGATAAAGAGACAAAGGGAACACACATCATGTGTCCATTCCAGGCCAGAGAGAGGCATCTCCAGCACACGGTTAGCCTAGATATTTATCACCAACACATCGACAGAAGTACACACTGTGTGTAGAGTGACACTAGGATAGCCAATGTAAATCTTCCTCACCACACTCAGCAGGCCACGCTCTACAGCTCTAAGCCAACACTAGGATAGCCAATGTAAATCTTCCTCACCACACTCAGCAGGCCACGCTCTACAGCTCTAAGCCAACAGCTGAGCACACACACAGCACCTGCTGTATGACATCACTGGCACTGGGTTTTCTCACTTCTCTACGAAAAACTCATCTTTGACATTTCCATTGAATCTTCTCATTTCTCTAAAGCGCAAAAATTTTGGAAGACAGAGGAGAAGGAAAGACAAAACTCTAAGGTAAAATATGTGAGGCAATCACATTTTTTGTGTGGATTTACTGACAAACATTGATTCAAGACACGGCAAAAGTAAATTTCCCGTTTTCATGGACTGATCACATTTTTTGTGTGGATTTACTGACAAACATTGATTCAAGACACGGCAAAAGTAAATTTCCCGTTTTCATGGACTCTCAAGCTTTGGAAATCCACAAACTTTGGTAGCCATTTTATCGATAATTTAACCTCAGAAACCGGGCGACTCCCACATCCTTCAATCGCAAATATCTCGACTTCTATCAAGAGATATCTGTATTTTTTTGTTGGAAAAACAGTTTTAAACAAACAAGCTTAAAGATCATTATATTAGTTACTCCACATGCCCAAAAATTGACTAGCCCCTTATTCTACTGCTACGTGACATATGGCTTTTTACACAAGTTTAGTATCATATGGCACAGTATGGGAGTTGCAGTAGCAGCGAAAAATTCAAAATTGAGGGCTTTTTATACAATTACTTTAAAAGCTTAGAGGTACTTTTTCAATTAAAATTTAAGGGTTACCATTAGAATCTGCGTCTCAACTTTTATCATCATCGTTTTCGTTAAGTTATATGCTTTGGGCTTAACATGAACCCTAAATGATCCAAACCCTCCAAAATCTTAATAATAGTTAAACTGTGTGAGTATACAAAGTAACACAGTCTTTCTTCAACTAACTGCATCTTCTTATTCTAATGTAAAAATAACTTTGAAGGCACTAAAAATAGAAAGGGAGTAAGAACAAAATGCACTCATAATTCTATGGAACACGAGTGTTACAATAATATTTTGTAATAATTTTGGACTCAAAGAGAATATTTTTCATCAGCCTTTTCCACAGAGACAAAATCTCCCAAAAGGAAACTAGAAAATGATTATGCACAAGAAGAGAGTACCCAGCTGTCACTACTCTACACAATCAGTAGGCCTACCCTGCAATAAAATTATTTAAAAATCAGGCAAGTTTTTACTTTCCCTCCTGCTCAAGGAGGCACTGGTTTTGGGGTCAAAGGGCACATATTTTTTTGCAGCAATATATACACATTAATAGGCCTATAGCCACTAAAACTTTAACTACTACTTATATTTTCAAGAAAAAAATTTCCGTCCTTTTAAAATTTCAAAACGTCAAATTATGGTC